GATTAATTTTCGTAAATGTCAATCTATCGACTAAAAACATCCTCGGCGTGACAACTAAGTAAGTTTGACAGCTGTCCAATTACAATCCAGCGCGTTCGCAACTATGAAATGAATACCGTTGTCAAATATCTAAATATACATATGAACGTCCATAGTACATACAGTGACCCAAACAAATGACCACGTGTTGATAATTTTTTTTTTTAATTCGTCATGTTTTTCTAGCTAAATTTCCGTCACAAAAAAAATCTCAAAAATCAACGGGATTTTTTTACAGCTTGAAATTTGCGCTTCAAAACTGCATACCCTAAAATGTTCTAAAGATTCAGCTTAAAAAGTTGAAACATAATAAAACAAATTAGCTCGAAAAACATTACGAATATAAAAAAAAATAATCAACACGTGGGCATTTATTTGAGTACTGTATATACTATTGTGCTCGTATGTTAATCAACATTTTTTTCATGAAGTAAAAATAGTTAATACTTAATCCATGGACGGATGTAATACAAACACACACATGCTTGCTATTGTGATTAATTTTATTGTCAGACAAGAGTAATGTATGGATTTGAACTTTTTTATGACACGACTATCAGCTTGATAAGTACAACTACATATCGATGGCTGAGTGGAAGATCGACCTATCTCGGCAGTCAGTTGGAAAACGCCTTATCTCGGAAAATTTTTCAACAACGCCCTATTTCCGAATTTGGTTGAAGAACGCCCTATTTTTGAACTTGATTGAAAAACACCCTATCTCAGAATTCGGTTCAAAAGTGCCCTATCCCAGCACGTTTTCAATGCATTTTCTTTTGAGAGAGGGCATTTTTCAACCGAATTCTGAGATAGGGCGTTCGTCAGCCGAATTCTAAAGCAGGGCGTTCTTGAAGGACCTTCTGAGATAGATATGTCGATCTTCCACTCAGCCATCGATATGTAGTTGCACTTATGAAGCTGATAGTCGTGTTTTTCTGTTTTTTTGTGTGGAAAATTACAAATATTTTTAAATTTTTTATATTTTTTAAGGGTATCCGTAAAAGGCAAAGCCTGAAAATTCGAGTAATCTCTAAAAAATCTAAGAAAATGCCAAAAGGCTTTAGCAGAAATCCCAATAAATCCCGTAGGATTCTGAAAAGTCTCCGAAAAATCCCAAAAAAATCAGGAAAAAAATACCGGAATCTTAACAAAATCAGTAAATATAACCCAGTAGATAATTTCAGAGTCAACAGCGCTTTCGTAAGGCCTTCCTGAGAGTTGAGATCTTCCACTCTACAGTCCTTTCTCCTTTTGGTTTTGTACGGTTTTTGTGCGATTAAGAAGTCTGATGTCCTACCATTTGTAAACAGTTGTTATTTTCAACAGTAATGTTTTTCATTAGAAACGGCCTAAAGCTAAATAAAATTCTGTAGTTCAGAAAAATAATTCATCTTTAAAGCATTTGCTTAAGGTTTACATATATCAAATATGTTTACATGGTATGAGAATCGCCGGTATATGTATGCATGTATGTACATACATATATATATATGTACACTACCTGTTATGCAATTCAGACGGGAAGTGTCGACCACCCATTTGAACAATCCGACTCATTAATGTCAGGCACTTGTCATCACGGGTAATATAAAACACAAAAAAAAAAAAGAAATGATCATCCACAAACAAGTGTAACTTGTAGTCACGCTTTGTAGTCATGAATGAGTACGAGTATGAAAGTATGTATCACACAGATGCACATGCAAATACAGACGCACATATGTACAACCCAGTATATTTGCAATTATATCGTATTTATGTACACTATAGTGCAAAACTGAGGCCAGGGTGGTTTTTCTCAAATATTTGCAAGGTTTTTAAAATTAATTTTTTTTTGTTATTTTTTTATAAAAATATGCTGCAGTGCATACCCAAAAATCTTCTAAAAATTCAGATTAGAAAGGTAAAAAGTTTGATGAAAATTTGTTGAATTTTTCCAAGCTTTGCATAATAATTTAAAGTTTGCATTATATGGGTTTGGTTAAGGCATGAACCATATTTTTTATAAAAAAAATAACAAACTAATGTTAACTTACAAAACCTTGCAAATATTTAACAAAAACCACCTGGGGCTCAGTTTTGCACAATAGTATATGTATTAATATTATCACCTTTCATTCGCTCACTCTAGCTATGGGTACTAATCTGCACTTTACATTCCATTGCCATTGAAATGTTTTTCATATACTATGTATGTATGTACATTAGAGTGGTCCAAAAACAGTAAAGTCGGAATTTTAATGCCGCCACACCCTAGGATTATTCTATACCGAAGAAATTTATACCCTTATTTTTCTATTTTGAAATCAAAAAATATTTAGGGAGTGCTCAAAGCGCTCAAAGTTTTCCATATATTTTATATGGGGAAGAAATAACTTTTCGTAGAAATGGTATAAAACTCTTTAAAATCGATATTTTTCGAAACTGTGGAGACCTCTAGTTTTAATATCTAATTGTTTATTTAACCATTTTTTAATATTAAACATTTTTTATTGGTCCCGCATTGCATTTTGGGGGTTTTGGGGGGTCCTGTAAAATATAGTTACCATGAAAAAATGGTTAAAGAAACAATTGGGTATTGTTATTGTGAATCTCCTGAAGAGAAACAGAATTTTCGGATCGAAATATAGTGATTTCTAAGAATTCCTACGAAAAGTTGTTTTTCCCCATATAAAATACATGGAAAACTTTCGAGTGCTAAAAAAATTGGGGTATATTTGTTTCGGTATAGAATAATCCTAGAGGGTGGCGACATTAAAATTCCGACTTTCCTTTTTCGACAAGCATTTTTGGACCACCCTTATGCACATATGTGCCTGCACCTGCATTTTGTGCTTCTTTTTCGGCAACGAGTAAATTGTACAACTTCTCAAACTAGGAATGACCATTAGTTGTGCCAATGTTTTTCACATATGAACCAATCATCAGAATTAAGCTCTGGATTTTGCTCTGACCAGTGGGGATCCAGCGGGGGGGTCTGGCTCTGACTACAGATAAGTTAAATTATTATTGAGAACTACGGGGAACAATACACTCTGAAATACCCTGCCAGTTTGGGGACAAAACTTCACTTCTTATATGTACAAAGTGATGGCACAGCGAAAGATTTCAAATACCCCAGGTGGTACTCAAAACTAGAAATCCACCCGCACCTGCGGCAGACGCACGGATTCTAGAGGCGTCAACTACCACTAAGACTCCTGTGCCAATGGCCGGGAGAGCATCATGGATCAGAGCCGTCAGGTACTACAAATACACAATTGTTAATTGTAGTGATAGAAATTAACAATTAATTAGTGCTCTTTATTGTACAAAAATTGAAAGGACTACAAAACGGTCATATTTTTGAAATTTGACTAATTTTTAGATCGAACTATATTTTAAATAAAAATTATTAAAAATAAATAAGCATAAGCTGCAAACAATATTTAATTTCCTGACCTAATTATTTTGACCATAAGTGTATGTATTACTATACCACTTACGCTTAGCCAATTTCTTACAGAAACGCTCTGCAGTGCGTGACGTTGAAAACTGTAAATACCTTTTATTACAATAAAACCGAGCTGATTACGATATCGATAATAATTTCGATGACGCTGTTTTTAACAAAATTAATACTAGAAAACGTATCGATAAAAAATCTTTAAATATATCGATAGGAAATTTATATCGATGTCAGTGACTTCTATACGATATCGATAACATAAATGGTATATGTATCGACAGAAAAGTTGGTAGTGATTAAAAATTAACAACTATAATAAATTGATAACAAAATCGATAGATGTATCGATAATATATCGATAATTGCATCGATTCAAAAACGAAATCGAAACTTTTTCCGTAACCGTTTCTATAGCGATTTTAAAAAATGTGCATATTGATGGCTGAGTCGAAGATCGACCTATCTCGACAGGCAGTTCGAAAACGCCCTATTTCAAAAATTCTTTCAACAATGCTACATTCCAGATTTTGGTTGAAGAACGCCCTATCTCAGCTCATTTCCAATGTATTTTCATTTGAGATAGCGCGTTTTTGAACCGAATTCTGAGATAGGGCGTTCTTCAACCAAATTCTGAGATAGGGTGTTATTTAATAAAATTCTGAAGTGGGGCATTCTTGGAAAGTTTTCTGAGATAAGGCGTTTTAGAACTGGCTGCCGAGATAGGTCGCCCTTCCACTTCAAAAAAAAAAAAAATCGTTAAATTTATCGAAACGAAGCTCTTCTATGCTACTCGTAAACGACATATGTATGTAAATCGCACGAGCAATTTTCCAAATATTGGTTGGCAGTGGCTCAAACCCAGTCAGCGTTTGGAAGATTGCTCGACTACTAATGGTATATCGAGTGCTTTGCGATTATACAATTGGTTTCTTAGAGACTGCTATAATCGATGGGGTCTTGGAATTCAATTAAGTTTTGTTTTTTGCCACTTTGGATATTTCCAAAAAGTCGTCCAGTAGGTGACAAACTAAAATTCTTTTATAGCAATTTTGCAAATATTTATGTATACACTTCTTCGTAGTCCTGCCGAGAAGCCAATACCAAAAACTCTATATTTCTGTAAACATTTTGCATTGAGTTTTAATATATTAACTTGGCTCTTTAATCATTTACATTTAAATATATGTATGTATGTCTCTTATTAAAAATTAATATCCATGAATGCAAGTCTATATGGGAAGCCCGATTAACTTGTATCATAGTATGAACTTAATTGCATTCACTGTTCGCCATTTGTTTAATTTGATTTGTGACAGTTTAATAATAAATATTCCTCTGCTACGCTCATCAATATTCGTAAAACAAAGACTTTACTCATATAATTGATGTAATTTTTTGCAAATTTCATTTAAGTAAAAAACGTGCATTCAACTTTATATAAAAACACATATCAATTCAATCAATATCAATTAGTAAATTAATGCATCTTTATTAATTTTTTTTTTCCTTTCAGCTTACCGCACTAATGAGGGCAAACCATGGGTGTTGCCAGTGGTGCGTAAAACAGAGATCAAAATTACCAGCGACGAAACAATCAATCACGAGTATCTACCAGTATTAGGTGAGTACTATGAAATAAAAAAAGACGTGCATTTGCAAATAACTGCACATTTAAACACTTGCAAATTGGTTGCGGTTAGATTTGCGGTGCAAGCAAAAAAGCCAAATAGCAAAAAAAAGGTGCTTACATACGCATGTGCCACCAATTTGCATATACATACATAAGTAGTGTCTATATGTATAACTCACTATTCATATGCTTTTGTCTACGTTTTTGTGTTTTTACTAATTTGCATCGTTTAATTTCAATTAAAGGCAACGACGCATTCACTAAAGCCGCCACAGCCTTGTTGTTGGGTGAGAATTCAGTCGCTATTGCTGAGAAACGTGTAAGTACAAAAAGCAAATAAAGTTTTATTTTAAAACTTAAATATAAACATTAGGGCGGGTTGATTTGTATGGATGAAAAAAAAAAAATTAAAAATCGTATAGCAAAAACGTAATCTACATTAAATTCTTAGAAAATTCTCTGAAGAAACCATTGGTCTAAAATCAAACCCTAATCCGCGCCTCTCGACTTGAAAATTTTTTTCCTCTTCTTTCGGTAAAATTATTTTCTTTTTTTTTTAAATATTATGTTTTATTATATTATATTATAGTTTATGCAATACNGTGGTTTCTTCGGAGAATTTTCTTAGAATTTTATGTAGTTTATGTTGTTGCTATACGATTTAAAAAAAAAACAAATCAACCCGCCCTAATATACTTACTGTCAAATTTAAAAATTTGCTTAATCATTTTAAGGCTTTTGGCGTTCAAACCCTCTCCGGCACCGGTGCCCTACGTATTGGCGCACAATTCTTGCGCGTAATTTTGAATCGTCGCGTAGCTTATTACTCAAATCCCACATGGGAGAATCATCATAAAGTGTTCGCGGATGCTGGCTTCGAAACGCTGCGTTCATACCGTTATTGGGATCAAGCGAATCGTCGAATCGATTTTGAGGGTTTATTAGCTGATTTGGAAGCTGCGCCTGAAGGTGCCGTTATCATATTGCATGCATGCGCACACAATCCTACTGGCTGCGATCCCACACAGGAACAGTGGAAGCAAATTGCCGACTTGATCGAACGCAAGAAACTCTTCCCATTCCTTGATTCGGCGTATCAGGGTTTTGCCAGCGGTGATCCGGAGAAGGATGCATGGGCAGTGCGTCACTTTGTGGAACGTGGTTTTGAATTGTTTGTCGCACAATCGTTTGCCAAAAATTTCGGTCTTTACTGTAAGTTTCAATTAAAAGTGTGGTATTTTATGAATTTTTGATTTCTCTAATTTGTTTGTTAATTTTTTTTTTTGTGAATCATAGGTGAACGTGTCGGCAATTTGACGGTGGTGCAACGCAACGCTGCTACCTCGGAAGCGGTCGCATCGCAACTCACATTATTGGTGCGTGGCATGTACTCAAATCCACCAGCGTTCGGCAGCCGTATTGTTGGGACAGTGTTAAATGATCCTGAGTTGCGTAAGGAGTGGTGAGTAAAGCGATTTGTAGGCGATTATTTTCTATTGTTTATTTATATTATTATTATTATTTTTTTAAATCGAGCACATTGCATAACCAGCACCATATAAATCCAAATTTCAAACTTGCATATATAAGCCTATTGATAAATTAGCCCTAAAATTTCTTGAGAGATTTTCGCTGTCTGTGTCACAGGGAATCTTTTTGGCTATCTTTCTTCTGCCAGTATTCCTAGAATTTATGTTAACTGCCTAAATAAGATATTCACACATGCATATGTTTCGTATTATATAAATTAAATATGCTATCTACTTAATTAACCTGCAAATAATTAATAAATAAATTTTTTTTAAATAACTTCGACAGGATGGACTGCATTAAAACGATGTCAGGTCGTATAATTAAAATGCGTCAGGCACTTTTCAATCGCCTCACAGAACTCAAGACGCCTGGCACATGGGATCACATTGTCTCACAAATTGGCATGTTCTCATACACGGGATTGAATGGTAAGCTTATTAATAAAAGTGTCAAAAAATTTATCAAAACCCATCACTTCTTTGCTATTTACAGAAAAACAAGTGCGCGTGCTGATCGATGAATTCCATGTTTACTTGCTGAAATCGGGACGCATTAACATGTGCGGTCTCAATGAGAATAATGTCGATTATGTGGCCAACGCTATACACACGGCTGTTACAAAAACTTTGTAATTGAAGTGAAAATTTATGCACGCATTTAGAAAGAGAATTACGACAAAAAACGAAAACAATTTTATATTTAGCGAAATTTTAAAATTCAATGGCTTTCAAATAAGTGTACACACATTAACTAATTAGGGAATGTTTATTAAGATGTACAATGTACAAATAAACAAACATTTAAGATGCTAGTAGTTAATAGACAGCAGTCCAATAACATCATCCAAGCAACAACAACACAACTGAATAACCTCTCAAATTGATGACAACTCCCCCACTGAGAAAATGAAAAAAAGCGCAAAATAAACAAATAAATGCAACCAACAGAATTTACTTTGTATTAGTAATGCAATAAATGCAGAACCATAATCAAAGCAAAATACAAATATTAAGTAGAAACCGCCAAAAAACTGTTTATAAACCAAAAATGAAGTTTATTATAACCGACGCTATGTATTTACACAAAAACTTACGTATATAAATTATATGTATGTATATTATTAGTAAAATATGACACATAACAAATATGTACACCGCAAAGAAGTTATACTCTATTTGTAATACTTAGATGAAATGTATTAAGCGTTTAGCGAGCCGGTTCCTCATTATATTGAATGTATACAAATATTTTGTGTTAAATCAAATAAGTAAAAATCAATAGAAGAAATTAATATATGTATTGTTATTAAAAAAAAAATCAAGAATAAATAAAAAAGTTATTTATAAACTAACCAACAATAATTTTTGTTGGTAATAAAGGATTGAATGGATCTGCTGAAAGAAGTGAACTAACATTCCTTTAATTTTGGTCCGACCCTGGCGACGAAACAGCACATCTCCTGGGACTACCGTTAGGTGAGGTTGACGAAGATTAGCTGATCTAAACCACAATATACTGTAGTAAAAATAACAACAACGCTGAGAGTCGTGACATTCGTTACTCAATCAACTCTAAACTTGAAAACATTTTTCATTGCTTTGCTGTTGTTTGCACATACAAATTTTCCAAGATCCCGGGCAACTCGCAGCTTACCTCTACAGCTTCTCCATTAATCGTTACCCTGGGTCTGAACCCCGGTGGCAAACAATCGGTTTTGAGAGCCTTAGTGAGTGCGTTGACGTATGTTCTAGCCATCTCCTCAACTAATGAGAATAGGTATCGCCAAGGGGCTGTATGCCTTGAACCGCTTCACCACATCCTGCCTCAGATCTTGCTTAGAACGATATTAAGTGCTTTGGCACTTCTGTACTTAATCCAGATTCTGTCTAGAATGGAAGCGTGTGCCTTTCGCAGCTGGTTAGACGCCCTAAGTTTCTTAACTGCGGGGCTTTCCACGTAGATGTCTACAAATGAATTGTCCGGAAGTGTCGTTGTTTATGTAGCAGTTAGTAGTGCTCAAGCCAGGCTTCTGACTCAGCAAGCCTGTGAATGCCGTGTTAGGCGCACAACCACCGGACATTGACGAGACGGAGCTTCATCTGCCTCGGAAAGACAAGGACCACAATAGCCCAACTTCGCTCTGGCTACTGCAGCAGGTTAAACTCATACCTGAGCAGACTCAACGTAGATGTTNAAAGACAAGGACCACAATAGCCCAACTTCGCTCTGGCTACTGCAGCAGGTTAAACTCATACCTGAGCAGACTCAACGTAGATGTTCCAAATGAGTGTCCGGCATGCGGAGAGACACCTCATGACTCGAAACATCTCTTTGTATGCCCGGAAAACTCAACAACTCTAACGTCTTTGACCCTGTGGACCAACCTTATTGAGGCTGCACGCTTCTTAGGCCTGCCGTTAGTGGAACTTGACGACAACGACTGAGATATTAACCGATCTGGGCGGGGTTGTTGTAGCCGCTACAACAACAACAACAACCGCATACTAGGCAGGTATTTACCACTTTTGAGTTCAGCGCAGGGAGGTGCCTGTCCAAGGTTTTTTCGGTAGTTCAACTTTCTTAAAATTAATGGGCGGCGTGCGACCTCCAAGAACGGTGTTGTCCTTAAAGGCGCTATGGACCGTCTTGATCTTAAAACCATGTGCACTTCGTCAAACCGATGGTCTTCGTACGGCCCGATGCCTGTTCTGCAGACGTATAGCTGCCATCTTCCTTCGAAAAGTTTCACCAAAGCCGTTTGGGTTGTCGACCAAATTTCTCCCGTTGTACACAGATCTTCATGGTAGTACTGCGGTCGTAGCCCCCAATCTTTTCTAATTATACTCAGGCAAACAAGAAACAATAAAAATTTGTTCAGATATACAAACATATATCCTTTTCAAAGGAAGACGGTGAATCTACATATGTTTACAAAGATGGATCGAAACTTGACAGAAAAAAATGATGGTCGCATTTACTCGGAAGAGTTCCTGATTACTCTAGCCTTTTTCATGTGTTATTTATGATACGATAAAGTACATATATACATACATACATTTCACTGATAGGCAGGCGGCTATTAAGTCCCTGGAAAAATGTCGCTGTCTTCAAAAATAGTTGCTGAATGCCGACAATCTCTTAATGAGATGGCGAGACATTTCCCCTGGCAATTCCGACATCAAGGCAAATTGCAAGGTCGATGAACTTGCTCGTCATGGTACGACATTTCCAAAAATAGAAATTTCTAGTGAAAGATAGCAAGTGGAGCCAATTTGGCAGAAAACTTTGGCCAGCCATAAATGACTAACGCCCAAAGTCTCTACTTTAGCTAAGAAGCCGCATCCTCATAGTGGCTGGAGTTCTTACCGGACACTGTCTGATTGGATTGCACCCAGCTGAACTAGGCGCACCCTCAAACAACTTCTGCAGAAGTTTCATGGACCAGAACGAAAAGGAAACAATTAAACAGCTTTTCGGGTAGTTGGAAAACGGAAAGCAAAAACTTTTGGCTGTCGTTTCCTTGATGATCTGTTTGGCCTCTAATAAATAGGCATAAGGAAGCCTCTCCACATTTTGCTGAGTACGAATTGGTTTTTAGAGTGACGGAAATAACTGCAAACGCCACGCGATATAACAAAGGAACCTTAGTTTAAGTTATTCCCACGATTGAGAGTTAGTCCCACAAGGGACAGCCGGCCGACCCAAACAAGCTTGTCTAGTTTTTTAACAACGTTAAATTTTCAACGTCCACTTCAAAGAGTAAAGTTTTTGTTGCCAACTATTCGTATTCTTCTAACAAAAACTATAAAATTTCTAACACGCACGAAGCTTAAAAGATAATGCAAAAACAAAAATAACGCGCTTAAAAGCCTACTGTGTAGCTGTACTCTAATAATGCCACACTCATTCCCCGCTTTTCTTTAATCTTTTACTCACCTCTTTTCTGCTTATTATCAATTAATGTTGCTGTAATTGGTTAGGCAGCGGAAGCGCAAGTCGAACATTATATTCGCTGCAAGCTATTAAAAAAACCAAAAGAAAGTATTTCAACTTACAAACAACAGAGCAAGAAAACAAGCTAAAACTACTTAAAATAATAAATGAGGAAAACATTAAAAATGGAGCATAAAAAATTTAAGCTCTCGTAGCCGTCGTCGGTTTGTTAGGCACTCATAATTACTATACTCGAGAGTGCGCGCGCAACACTATTCCAACGCCCCTAATTACCATGTTATTACAAATGTTTGTATGTAGGTATGTATATAGCTGTATGAGCTACGTTCTTGTTTTTGTGTAGGCACAATAGTGGCTTATCTACAAGCTCATTAATCTTTGAGTTAATTTACTCTTGATTTCTTAATTTTGCTCTAATTTTTTTTAGAAAATTTTAAGTCGGCGCCTCATGTGCTTATGGAAAAAAAAAGAAATTTAGTGAGTAATGGCTTCTCTACTATGCATAGTTAAGCATTGATTAGTTCACTATAATTTGTAGAAATTATGGCGGAAGTGTTTGAATAAGTTCATAATAAGTCGATTATTTGAAAGTAAAAAATAAAAAATAAAGTGTGCATATTTTAAGTGATAAAAATCAAAAAATCAACATTAGGCGCTTCAATAGCACCAATGTAATAAACGGTCGCAGAAGTTTCAGTGAACCAAAAGAATGGACATTTAAAGGTAAGTATTTATATGAACTTTTGAAGAAAACTTCTATATGGGTGGCGCTTGAACGTAGATAGCTTTCTTATGAGATGTGACACGATTTTACAAGATTTTCCTGTGTGGGCGAAATTTCGAACAAACTAGAGGGAGCCTCGAAGTCTTGCAAAGCCCTTGTACGTTGCACGGATTGCACGGGAAATCTCGGTTTTCGAATGGAGTAGCTTTACAATCGGTGCACCGTGCAAGCGCTTTGCAAGACTTAGGGAAACCCCCTACTGAAACCTATTCCTTAAAACATTCAACCCTCTATAGACAAGGAAATTTATGTATCTTAAGATAAGCGAGAGAACTATTATACATAAGATCTATGGCTTTGTTTGCGTGGGCGACGAATAGTGAATAATATACTGGACATACTAGTTAAGCGCATAAAAATACAAAGACTGCGCCGACTGGGACATATTCTATGCACGAATGACGACGCTCCGGTGAAAAGACCCTTCGACTATGCACCCAAGGGTGGACAACGAAAGCAATCGGGCCCACGAACGCAATGGTTGGACCAATTGCAGAAGAACTTGTCGGTAACTGGGACAAATAACTGGTGGAAATTCGCAAAGGAGAGATACAACTGGCGTAGCTTTTTGGTCTCTCTTCGAAGCGACAAACCTTTTTTGTGCAAAAAAAAAAGAAGAAGATCATAAATCGATGGTTACGGAGATTAAGCCGCCTCGCTGATCTGCATTTCTGACCATTGTTTAGTCACCACATCGGCTATTTTGTTTCTTTCGATATTGCTCTGTCGATAAACTCAGTAAAAAAAGACGCCGATGTCACTAAAACAATTCTTAATTTCACTGTGTTGGATCCTAACGCTCTGGGAATGTTGTACACATAACAAAGAATATAGTGATTTTCTTTCATATAAACTTACTGTTATGTATTAGAGCACAAGCCTTCTCCATGGTCAAGGTCTCCATTTGAAAGGCAGGCTGTATGATTGCCGTTTCAACTCTTTCTTCCATCTTTGAGCGATAATTCCATGGTAAAACCAACAACTCCTTCCTAAAGGCCCGCATCCCTCTCTTCACTAGCTGGAAGTCAATCAAGATCCCCGCCCGTTTACTTTTACAATTTTTTTTTCCTTTTGTTATGAGCATTGGTGGCGTTTTAACCGTTATTGAAATGCCCGACTAACAGCGCCTGATATACCGAGGCATGCGAGTGTCTTCACGCTTCCGATTATTTTCTGATTGCCTTTTTTCTATAAGTTATGCCATACCAGACACCACAGTTTTTT